CACTCCACAATAGTTGCATACAATATGTCACCAATCAAACCAATCAAACAACGTACTACACCGTACAATCAGCCACACTCAAAACAACGGACACAGACAACGATACGCACTACAATGCAGTCGCATGCATTGAACCACCAAGACACTTAAAGACTAGGAGGAGGAAGCAACAAAAAGGGAGAAGGCAGGGAGGTTAACCAGAAAGACATCCGGTTGGCTACCCTACACACTTAAAGACTAAAGAGATAGAAAACCTATCCAGTCCAAAGTTCTTGGAACAAAGTCTGGATGATACTCTTCCGAGAATCACTCACTCAAAGTCCAGCGTTGTTGTCGTTCCGCGCCCTCGAAGTTTCTCTTCCAGGAAACCTCGCGTCTTCAATTGGCCACTCTCCAAGCTTCGAACTTCTTCGCCCGAACACGTCGGCCCCACACACGCAGTTGTCGCCACGCGTCTTCGCTCGATAGCGGTAAACACACGCTCTTGCCTGTAGCTCGAGCCTTCACCCCTCAGGTGGAAATCCTCTTCATCTCCTGCTTTGTCGCTACGGACAAAACCTTCGCCGACTACACGGCGGTATACCCTACGCGCTCTGGCGCTAACTTCCGTCTTCTCCTGATCTCTCATCTCAGCTGCTCGGTTAAATACCTTGCGCGCGACATTCCAGAAGGTTCTCGTCATTTCGTCGGCGCGATACGCAGCGAAAGCTGGGAAGAGGGCGAGACGGTTGGAATGCCCTCCGCGGCCGATGACTGAACTCGGTATGACCACGCCCCTTTCGTTCCAGAACTTTCGCGGGCTATCTCGGCCGCCGATGTGGGGTGAGGAGGTTCGTCGGCGAAGCCACGCTTCCAAGGGGAGAGCGCACGCCCGGGGAGCCTTGGATGTTTGTTTTCTTTTTTTTTCTTTTGACCTCCCGGCGTCTCTTCCGCGCGTTACCGCAAGAATTTGGCGGCGCGCCCATTTTTAGCGCTCGTTCTGTGACAGCGGGCCACACGAGGTGTATGCCGCGCACCTTTATTAGGCTATACACGTGTCCAGCCAATCATGCAAGGTTTTGAAAGGTTATGAAAAAGGGAGGGCAATATCATGGTCATGCAGGTCATTGACCATATTGTCAGCCGATGAACCCTGGCGTTACATTTAAAGAGCTGTTTACTTTCCCCACCTTCACCCCCAGAACGCGGAGAATCAAAGGCCGTCGTCAGATGCACACCACCGTTACATTTTCATTTTTGCTTCCGTATAGGGTAGCTTAGCGTGTTTAGAACTCGGCCACATGGTTTATTTAGCGCGAAACGACACCACAAGAAAGAAGACCAGACAAAGCGCTATTCTTTGGATGCGTTACCATGAGTGCGCATGGGTGACCTAGTGTTGATGGTTGTGCGAATGGTGTGCACTACGCATGTCCTAGCGGTATCGGGTTTGTATAATTAGAGGAGTGACGCAATTAATTATGTCACTTGAGAGTAACGCTTTGTCCAGTCTTCTTTTTTTTGGTGTCATTTTGCGCTAAAAACTCACTATGAATCTGCACCAACTAGCCGGCCAGTGCATTCTAGCGGACTCGACCATTTCTGGGAACAGGAGGGGGTGGGAGGAGTCTTCGGTAAAATTTGGCTTCTCCTTACGGAGAAACTGGCGCGCGCTCGTATAATGACAATGACAGTAATGGTTGCAAGACGACATAGATGGCTGCTGCACGACGACCGTTCAATTATGACCACAACAGTTCATTGACTGATGTCAGTAACACAGTTATCTTAAAGGACTTCTAAGGCCTCGTGCAGGTAACTTGGTGGTTAAACACGTAAACAAATAAGTGGTCTTCCTGATGCTCATCTGAACTTGTTGAGTTGAGCACTCCTCACCAGCTGCTGTCAGACATGTTGTTACACGCGTAGGTTCACGATGGCAAACACCTTCTGGTTGAAATAATGTCCGTGTACTCACATGTGGATATTGCCACGGCTGCCGCAAATATGCTGACGGCACCCTGGATTTCCTGAAAAGACAAAATATGTAAAAAAACAAAGAAACGTAAATTGAAGGGCTCGTTCTCGTTGTTAGACAGAATATTATTGAGAACTAACAGATAAGGAAGGAAGAAGGAAGGAAACTAGGAGGAAAGGAACGGCAGGGAGGTTAATCAGCCTATAGACAGCCGGTTTGCTACACTAAGGGGGAGGGGGAGATGAAAGATTGAGAGGAGAGAGGGAAGAGAGATAAACACAGTACACAGATGCGGCGTCGTACCCAATGAAGTGATAACAGACAACGATGCCAAGAGAAGTATAGGGGATGATATTAGAAGTAATTATAATGCTAATGTGAAGAAAGAAATGTGGACGAAAGGACAACTTGCCACAGGCGGGATCCAAACCTTTGATTTTCGCATAACGTGTGCGATGCTCTACCACTAAGCTGCGTTGAATTTCTTTCTTTATTGGCATCTTCTACACTTGAAGTCTCGTGGTTACATGCATAAAACATGTCGGCCACGCTTTAACCAACATGAAACTAAAGTTTTTTTTTTTTTACACAGATTAAGCCATTCAGCACGAAAATATACACAAGTGGGTCGGAGAGCATGCGATGCACCTCACTGAGCTGCGGTGGCGTTCATCCCTCCGCCCACTTTATATGGTATATATGTGCATTCAGAATAAATATGTAAGATGTGGTTCAGAAACGAAACATCAAGCAACGAAGGCTGATGTTCGACCTCATCGGTGTGACATCGGAACAAGAAAGCGATCGAAGTACGGGACACAGCAAAAGTATAGCATAACACGAGCGCTACACAACACACACTTAGCACAACACATGACTCTCAGCACGAAGCTCCTCGTGTTGCGTTCTTGCTGTGTCCCCATCATTCAATAAATTGATTGGTACTATATCTAGCGAAGTACTGCATTATTAACTGTTTGGCTGCAGAAGATATGATGTAAATTATATGCTCTAACTCGTCCACACATGCCAGAAGCTGCTTCAAGCGCATTCTCCTCGAGTCTGGGAGCAATGCGGTCATAATACTCGTATGGTGGACGCGTGTGCAAGTACCACTGACGGCATATATCTAGCCGGTGTTATGAAGTCACAGCTTGGGTCATCTATACTAACTCATATATACCGCGGTTGATCGACCATGTATGTCAGCAACCAGAAGTATGATCTGCATGGCCGACGCCAGTGGATGAAGGGGGGAGGGGTCTGTTGAATGCCTCCTCTCCTGAAATGTTTCAGTTTAGCTTGCGTATATATACACGCACACATAAAAACGCATGCACATACATAAAGTATGGGTAAGCCCTACCCCCCCCCCCCTATTTAGTTTTTTTTTTTGAAATTTCTTACGTACGTGGTACATCAATTTTTGCTATATTGAAGGTCTCCTGTATTCTACATCTTCACATGATTATGTCGCGCTGTTAGTTTTTTTTATGATATAAAGTAGGCTTCGGACAAAGTACAGGCAGTACTTTGTCCGAAGCCTACGAAGTGTTGTTTCGATTGATCGGGCAATTTTAATTGGAATACATAATTCCATTCTCGGATGAACTTCATTGCAGACTGTTCGCGGATCAAGTTTTGTGGACAAATGGCTGCATAGTTTGTTCAATGAGCTCGGCGAATCGCTCGCCGCGAGAGGGAGCAGTGATGAATCATTCTCTTGATGCATGCGCCGCATGTGCCATTCGATCAACCGTGACATTTCCTATGTATACGATTTCGCAGTGACTTGAAATGCGGTGAAAAATTATATCGTGACGTACATCTTTCGCTATACGTCGCATGTCTTCAGGATTTTATATGGCAATGTGCTGTTTGTTTTTTCTCTAAGCTGACATTTTTTTATTGATAGTAGTGGTGCTTGCGAGTTTCTTAGTTGCCCATAGAAGAGGTCCTGGTTGTCAACATACGAAGCGTAAAGTGAAAGTATAGCATAATATTCTGCCATTGTGGACGTCGTGAAGTGGAAATGCCTAAAATGTTTTCTTAGAAGTTATCACAAGCATTTGCTTATCCATAATGTAGCTTTCGTTAATCATTTGTATGTAACACAAAAGTGAAATGAAGTCAGTTTATTGCAAATGACGCGCAGCGAGCGCTGTAGTCTAGCTTTTCATTAGCTTTCGCGGCCGTATAGGTGCTTCGCAAGCTCGACGCATTGCATCAACCAGCAGTGTTTAATTTAGACATTTGTATAATGACAAAAAGTGCTTAATGCTCTTTCAATAAAAAATAGACAGTCGTGACCAGCAAAAACTATCGATTCTTTTTCACGGAGTCAAGCATCGTTCATTTTCAATTAACTTTTTTGCACGACTTCCCAACCGTCTTGCTGGTAAGTACATGGTTTAATCTAGAACTTGAGCTAAATGACTGCACGTTTCTGAGCACTTGGCAATGATAATTTGAGATATGTTGAAGCGGGAACAACCACAACGAGACAATTTATGTTGTCCAAAAAACAAAAGACTCGCGCTAATATAGACGCTCCTACATAACACGTTATGTTACGTATACAGTGCTTCCGCATTGAAATGCAACAATTTGGGGCTAAGCAATGCACACATTTCATTTCGACCTTCTCGAGCACGTGTCATATTCGCATGGTTTCAAATAGAATGCTTTGACATCAGAGCCAACATTACATTCGGTGGCAAGGGCCCGTATTCGCAGGAATGTCTTACGCTTAAAATGTTTGTAAAAGAATATTTCAGCCAATCACGATGTGGAACATATCATTAATGAAGCCGGCTGACCAATGAGAAAATGCACTTACTAAATGTTTTGTGAATTGAGCCACATATTCGCAGCGAAAGGACGTGATTATCTCGAGTAATTGCACGTACCGGTCATTATAAAAATCTTTTTATGTCACGTTTCGATCCGTGAATTCTGTACCGGCGTTAATACGCAGAGCGAGCGGAAATGCGGTGGTCAGTGAGTAATATTGCGCTTTAAATAACGTACACATTCGTTATTTTTATCTACGTGCAAAATCAGCAAAAGTGGAACGTACAGTGAGGAAGAAGTAGACGACACAGGCAGCGATCCCGACTTGGTTACCGAAGCGCATCCGGATGTACTGCAAAAAAACAAAACAAAAACAAAGGGGCATAGTTTCAGCCTGTCCTTACAACGTGCGTCCATTTACGATGTAACGAGACTATGGGGTTAGCGAAAACAGCATGCTGTGTATAAGAATACATATTTCCTGATGCTCTACTCAATCCTAATCCTCAAGAGATGTCTTTGTTGTTTCGTAGCTATTGTCGTCAAATAAATAAAGAACAGGTACACTGTCATTCTTGATCCAGTAGCAGCCGACACCTTTCTACCAACATATATTAAGCAGAACAAAAGTTGGCGCGATAGTAACAATTACTTGCCCTCTGTTTGAACGCAGCATCGCCAAGTATAAGACCCCTACAGTACACCTTGCTACTCCGTAAACTACACAGCTGTATGGAGGACAAGCGACTTATGATTTCAATGACGCATTTTTTTCCACGCTGCCGTAAAGCAGTCAACGTCCCCACGATACATAAATGGATTTGTCGATATACTAGCTTACTGTGGCTTATATATCGTTCCGTAGGAGTCAACGCTGTCACCATGACTTGTGCTTAGTGGTGGGCGATTTTGGCAATAAAAGAAGCAACAGGAGAGAGAGAGGGGTGGGTAGATAGATAGATAGATAGATAGATAGATAGATAGATAGATAGATAGATAGATAGATAGATAGATAGATAGATAGATAGATAGATAGATAGATAGATAGATAGATAGATAGATAGATAGATAGATAGATAGATAGATAGATAGATAGATAGATAGATAGATAGAGAGGGGGGGGTCAGGGATATAAAGCAGCCTAGCATGTGCTACCCTACACGGAGGAAAGAAAAAGGCAGAGGACTTTGAATGTTAGAAGCAAAGAGAGAGCTGGGTACAACACACGCAAATTTACACTCCGCACTGTCCAAATACCGCCATTGGTCTATTACCACCGGTCCAAGTCTGTTGTCTTCATTAATTCAAGCAGTGCCTCCAACCGCGGTAACATCTGAGGACGACATTTAAAAATGCTGCTCCCGACGTTGTTCTGCTGTTGAGGCAAGCCATTTCGTGGATGTGAAACGTGCCGACAACTAAATGACAGTAAATTGTCCTCTAATGTTCACATCTTACATGAATGGGGCAAAAGTACATTCCCATTAGGCGTAAAAGGCATCACAATATTCGTTCGTAGGCGGCTGGCACAGCCATGTAGTCACTGTTTTGTCACTGGTTTTTCACATTTTCCGTAGCTTTCATACCATAAATTTAACTTAATTCAATTCAACGCTTTGATTTTCCTGCTATGAAAGATAGGAGCAGAGACGAAGACCTACTGTAATGAGTTGCTTAATGGGGTGAAATCTCCTTAGAATGACAGCAACAGTGAGTGCGTGGGACAAGAAAAGTAGTAATAATAAACAAACTGAACAATTGGTACACAAGGAATAATTATACACGCTAGTAGAATATTGTCAGACATTGGTATGACAGGAAGTATTGGCGTAAAAACAGTTTTAGCTAAAGGAAACAGACTGCACTAAAAATGACAGTGGGGAAATAAGACAACATACATAAACATCGCGAACATTGAAAGGATTTGTACAAGTATAGTCTAATAATATGACTCTGTAATATTTGATGGCTTTCAACGTTCCACAACCTTGATATAGCTGTGAGAGACGCCGTAGTCGAGGTTTCCGGAATTTTCGACCACCTGGGGTTGTTTAACGTGCACCTAAAATGGATGTATGTGCACGTCGCCGCAACCTGAGGGTCAGCAGTCGAGCACCATAAACCACCATAGAGGGTTAATAGTATAAACATAACAAAAATATTATGGATGCATGGATAGATAAACATCATTGGATCCTTCAGAACGCGCTTTATGAACATGGTAGTAATATGGACATAATAATAGAACCTCGTTTGATATAACACCATTCATAAAATTTTACAGAATCCCTTTTGCATCGCCAAACATGACTCGAAGTCAAAGTCTATGATATTTTCTTTCTCAGTCGATCTATTGATCCTCCCCCACCCCTCTCAGAAAGTTGTCGGCACCTAAAGCTGTTTTGCAGCATTAGAACCGTTGTATAAGCTGTCTATACTTTGACCAGGCGACGATGTCATCCAACGACGTCATCATACAACATCACGTTATGTGACGTCACGATGATGTCACAATTTGTGGCGATCTGTGACGTCCTGGTGATGTTATATGGTAACCATATAGGCGTGTGCAGGATGAGTGCAAGGGGGGCCACCGCACTCCCTCATCATTGAAGAGGAGCACCAAGTCCGCCTTATGCGTTTACTTTGTAGAACGAGTCCTGTTATTGTTTAAAAAGGCGCTAGCCGTACGGCGTGGCAATGTGTGCACGTTAGAACTCCATTCGTATTAACTGTAAAGCCCCTATGTGTGCGCGTGCGTGTGCTTTCTTTGTGTCGCTGTTTCTTGTGCGGTTTTACCGTTCGTCTAAGTGAAAGTTCCAGGCTACGGCCTTGCAGGTTTTTGGCAAAAATGGCAGCAGAGTACCACTGATGATGCATTTCAAGAGCTGCCTATTACCCGTTCTTACCCCTGGAAAGCCGGAGATCAAGGGTGGCCCGTTGTGCGAAGCACATCATAGCTTCGTCTCCAATTGTGCATCAGCTGCGAAGCTCGTTCTACTTCTACCCGCCATGGTGGTCAATAAGAGTACTGAACGCTGGGCGAATTCATAACTATAAAACTGCGCGAAAAATTGACAAGAAAGAGAGAAGGCACACACACAAGCGCTGACTATCAGCTGAAAGTTTATTGAAGGATACACATATATACCTAGCAAAAAAATATGACGTGAAAGATTAGAGGTTGGCAGTGAGATTATCTATCTCTAGTTGGTGCAAAGTCACCGAAGGCCTCGCAACACACATGTCGCTATACTACTGCATATAAAAAGCCTCCGCAACTTCTCTCGCTGTCCTATCCCTGTGCCGGGGCAACACCCTTGCTTCGTGAAGTAATTGGTAACACTTGCAATACCTGCAATGTACGTACAGATTCGATGAAGGGTGGGCCTTCAGTGATGCCCTGTGATTCATTAGTTGGTTATTCAAACATCTTCGAGTTTGCCCAACATAGCACTTATCACATGGCAAGCGTATAAGATACACCGCAGCCATTCCACATTCAACAAACATTTCCCGGTGATTGACCTCACAGTCACACCACTTTTTTCCCCTTCAACACTCCTATCCACCACTGCGCAAAGTCGGCCCAACTTATTCCTCGACGAAAAAAAAAACACATTAACACCAAAACCTGTTTTCCACCTTTTTCATACGGTGGGAGAAGGCATGAAGATATGAAATGCACGTGAAAGGCAAACCTTTATCGATGCCCGCCATGTCATCACCATCCTGTTTGCGTTTCTTTAATAATATTTCACTGAGAAGACCCAGCATTCCTTCTGGAAAGTTTGATAACCTAAGCCTACTTAGTAAGCTAATCATCAAAAGCCTCTGACGGCCCCGCCGCGGTGGTCTAGTGGCTAAGGTACTCGGCTGCTGACCCGCCGGTCGCGGGTTCATATCCCGGCTGCGGTGGCTGCATTTCCGATGGAGGTGGAAATGTCGTAGGCCCGTGTGCTCAGATTTGAGTGCACGTTAAAGAACCCCAGGTGGTCAAAATTTCCGGAGCCCTCCACTACGACGTCTCTCATAATCATATGGTGGTTTTGGGACGTTAAACCCCACAAATCAATCAAAAGCCTCTGACGTTAGATGCGGGCACGACTTGCGCAAAGCTGATTCGAGGCATGAAGTGGCGACACCATTCTATGAGTGACAGGAATGATGATCAAGAATGGGCTTAACTGACCTAAGCGAATACCGCCAGTACGCGTGTTCCGGCCAAATCCCAATTTTCAAATCTAGAAACTGAATGCAGCCATATTTCGGGACCTCAAAGGTAAGATTCGAACCCCGTCCCTTCTCTTTAAACATTTTTCAGCACATTGACTCTGAAACTAACGCAATTGTTCATGTCAACAAACACCAGATAATCATCAACGTACCTCATTGTTTTAAGCGCTAAACTTTTTAAGCCCCCATCTCTGTTTCTTGTCGATTTTTTTAGTAGTCTTGTATTTATGGTAGTCCAGTTGGATAAGGCACTCGGCTGCTGACCCGCAGGTCGTGGAATCGAATCCCGCCAGCGGTGGCCGAATTTTCGATGGAGGCGAAAGTACTTGTTGAGACCCGTGTGATTAGATTTAGGGGAAGGTGAATGAACCCCAGGTGATCTTAATATCTGGAGCTCTCCACTACGGCGTCTCTCATAATCGTTTCATCGTTTTGGGACGTTAATTCCCATAAATTACTACTATCAAGTTTTGGACACCAACCCGGGAGGAGGAGGCTGAGCTGAGACTGCACTGCTCCCCCGCCCCCGCCAAACTGTACGCATGTCTATGATGGTGACGTCATGACGTGGTAATATTTTTCGCATCACTCGTGCTGACGCCACAACAGTCAATTTTCACGCGTAATGGGACAACTAAAACATTTTCCTTAAAATGTGCACTAATAATTAACATCATCCGTATGATATACCTGATAGACGGAAGTGACTCCGAGCCTTCGCACCAGAGGAATGACCACGTACGCGATGAAGGGCAGGAGAACGAGCACGGGAATCGAGCCCCACAGCAGGTGCATCCCGTAGGCGTAGAAGTGGGACGTGAAGCCCAGCAGTCCCGTGGCGGTCACCATGGAGGCGAGCACGGACAGCGCCAGGGGCAGCATCCTATGCTTCGGCCTCCGAGGAACTCTTCGTCCGCCATGCTCCCGCTGCGGACAGTCCGAGCGGACGACTTGCTGCGACACTTGCCCAACGCGAAGTACAGGCCCGTGAAGAGGCTGACCGCCACGAAGACTCCGAACACGGCGTACTCGACATCCTGCGCGAGCCCTCAGCCATCTCCGGCCTTTGCATTCAGCTGTGTGGAAACCGTAACAAAAATCGGTAGAGAATCCAATCACTGGATTGACATTGAACTTAAGGGTAATCGCGCTGGTACGTACTCTCACAATGAGAACATCACGTATTCTGCCATATTCCCCTCTGGGCTGTCATAAGCTATAGCATGCGCGACACTCGGAAACAGCACAGCCGAGGTGGCGACGTCAGCATTTGTGCAGTAGGCGTCAGACGTTTGGAGACAATTGGGTCTAAGAAAACTGAATTTCTCAGAAATTTATGGCTGTTATTGACCTAAATGCCAAGTATAGTATTGTTAGCACGTCGTAGAACGAGCCAGAAATGGACATTTATGGCTAACTGCTGAAATGAGCGGAAACATTCAACTTTTTCGTGCGTCTCGTGGTTGAAAATCGTTGAACCGACACGGGCTGTCGCTATCAGTCATTCAGTAACACTAGACATGAATCGGAATAATTTAGCTATTTTAATACAAGTTTAGCCATAATTAAAGTGACATTGTCCAACAGCAGACAAAAAAATCATTTATAAAACAACACCAGGCATGGTAGCCTCTGCTAAAGAGTACTGCGAGTGGGCGAGTAAATACGTCAGCGATGTGGCCGAACGCCCTTCGCGACATTTCGCTATTGAACATAGGCATATGCCGTGGATGAATTTGGAAATGAGGAGTAAAGTGCAGCAGCGATTGCTGTTTGCCTTCTTGCGAATCCCGGTGCTGTTCAAAACCTGACGACACACTGCAGCTTTACCATCAACACACGCGAGGTTCAAGCGGAACAACTGCTGCCATGAAAGTCCAGTCACATACACTGACACTGGTGAAATTAAGCCACGCGGAACCGGAATAAGCCGGCACATGAAGTGACACATGACGTGACACGGACAGGTGAAATGACATGCATATGCCAGCCTAGAAGCTTTTTCAGTAATTTCCATCTACTATATATAGCTTCTTAATAGGTAATAGTTTCCATTTTCCTGAGGCATGTGTAGGCCATGAACTTGAGGCTGAAGGGCCTACGACTCAGCGTCTAACTTTGATAGTACTTTATGACTAAAGTCTTGATGTCGTGGGTATTATAATAAATATGTTATACACCTTCATTCACGTGGCCACATGCGCATTCTGGACTGTCTGCTCTTAAAGGATTGTGTAAAAAGACTGTTTTTACGTGGTACATGGAGCCCCCCCCCCCCCCCCCCGATGTGGTGGTCTAGTGGCTAAGATACTCGGCTGCTGACCCGCAGGTAGCGGGATCGAATCTCTGCTGCGGCGGCTGCATTTTGGATGGAGGCGAGAATGGTGTAGGCCCTTGTGCTGAGATTTGGGGGCTCGTTAAGAAACCCAGGTGGTTGACAATTATTCCGGAGCCATCCACTACGACGTCTCTCATAATCATACGGTTGTTTTGGGACGTCAAACCCCACATAAAAATCAAGGTCAGTGCTGCAAACTTCTTCGAAAAAAGAAAGGAAGAGGAGACCCTATAAATGCAAGCGCCATGTGGGAACAACACCGCTTGTCGTTGCTGTGTTGACTAACCGTGTTTAAACACTATTATCAGTGAGCCGGTGCTGTGCTCACAATTGTTTCCAACTTGATAGGTCTCGAAAGTATGGCGGCCATTATTTCTAAATTTATGCGTGGGCAGCAAGTCCTTAAAACATAATTTGGGAATATTTGTCATATACCCAATTATACATTTCCGTTTTCTAGATGCAACCCATGCATTTTCCTGCCAGCAATGTGCCGCGTCCAATTATTAAAAAATTTTTGCAGCTTGCGCTGAGTCACGTGGGACTCGCGCACAGCAGAGTTGATCCGCACTCGATCGGCTCTTGGCTCGACTTCTTGATGCACGTAGTGTTCACGTGATTGCATTGTAAAATACGAGTGTTGGCAAATGTCGATTGGTTTCGACTGGGTGTGTCTGTTTTTTTCTATTCTGTCTCTCTCTAAAGGTGCTTTTTTATCTCTATTTCTTGCTCCTTCTATATTTTATATTCATTTCTTTTCTTTCTTTCTCTCTATTCTTCGCTTCCTCTTTGTGTTACTTTTCTATCTCTTCATTTTTATTTGTTTTTGCTCCTTCTGTCTTCGTTTCACCTTCTTCCTCAATCTCGTTTTTTTCAACTCGGGTCACGCGTGGCGCGGTAGTTGTCCACCGCCGCCGCCAGTGTCGGTAATTACTATAAAATCCTAGCACCATGAACACAGTGGCACTCGAACCCGAGTCCGCTGCGTTCCAGCTCACTGTACTCTACCACTGAGCCATGATGGTGCTCCGTACTTGCTCGCAAACTTGCCTTAGACAGGCTTGATGTCGGGAAAAGAATCGCGATGACCAATAAAGCGTTTTATAAGAACAAAATAAAAATGAGGCGTCACATAATGTGAATAGCGTTGCGAGTCGGTCGTCCAATGCTCTAACCCATTACAAGAGCTTGTTTTTGATCACCCATTAACTGTGGCGCATACCCACTTCAGGCATGATTCCCCAACGTTGTCAGCCACTGCATGAACAATTGGCACAAAATTTCTTGCAATTGCATAGCGGATACAACGCTTCTCAGAAGAATGACGAAAAATAACGTAGCGGGTGCTAGTATACTACCCAGAAATCAGTATTATTAATGATGTAGTGGGTACTTAGCAAGGGTGCTTGCAGCAGCTACCCAATGAGTGTTGTTAAAAGACTCTGAAAGGCCACTCTCCCAGATTTCGCTGTGACTGTGCTGCGCCTTCCGCGCACGCCTGGCGTTTTTTGTCCTTTTTTTGTCGGCATGATGATGATAGTTTCTTGTCTACATCGCGAACCGGACAAACGGCTGGCATAACAGCACTGCTGCTATGAAGTTCCTGAAACAGGAAAAAAAAAAGAATTCCTGCTGGAAAGCATTTAAACTCAGCTCACTTAGTTATAAGTAGGCCCCAGTGACCAAATTTAGCCTCCCAGACAAGGGCCGGGAAGGTGAAGAAGATTGGAGTGCGGACGTGGAAAGAGGGTTCCAACAAACAAAATGTTCGCCAACTTTACCATTAAAAAAAGGGGCATTTCCCGTATCGCTTAGATAGGCTTTTTCTGAAGGGGAACTGCAATCAAGATTCGAGAAATGTATCGATAATGATCTACAAAATGAATGAGATCTGGTTTTGGGATATACATTTCTCGTTCCATGATTTCAACACGGTGATCGCACAGGATGCCTTACGAAACAAATGTGCTCGAGCCAATGTGCTCGCACAAACATACTAAATAATAAAAAAAAACAACTGGGACGGTGTCAGCCACGAGCAGGCGGGTCCACAAGAGAAAGGTCCGTTGGTCCGTGTGTATCAGACCCCATGGCCCTCAGGGCAGCAACTGCCAAACACACGACAATGACAGTGGTATAATAATGTCTGTGACTTGAAGTCCCACAGCAACGATATAGTAATATGAGAGACGCTGTAGAGAAGGGCTCCCGAAATTTCCATCACATCGGGTTCTTGCACGTGCACTGAAATCGCAAAGTTCGCGGGCCTCCATCACTTCGCCTCCATCGAAAGGAGACTGCCATGGCCAGGATTGAGCTCACTATCTTTGGGTCGGCAGCCGAGCCCCTTATAACCACTGTTCCATCGAGGTGGACAACGGCAGTGGTCCGGCGTGTAGAGCCGTGAAAGGTATTCTATGCTCCAGCTGGCAGCTACCGAAAACTAAACCGAGGAATGTCTAACAAACGGGCTTTATCAAGGGATGATAGCATGGCAGAGTTACTTGAGGGGTCAGAAAACGTTAACTGGGATATTATTGGCCTTAGTGAGCTTAGAAGAACCGGCAAAGCGTATAGGGTAGTAACTCATGGTAGGTCGCGACTACTTCCTGGTGGATGGCGTGGGGTTTTTCGTGGTGCGGAAAGGTATGCAGTAAACACTGAACGATTCTATGATATCAAAAAAATGATAGCAAGCCTCCTGATGAAACTAAACATCTGATACCGATTCAAAGAAATACAGATCTGCACTGATAAACCTAGTCATTTTACACACACACACACACACACACACACACACACAACACACACACACACACACACACACACACACACACACACACACACACACACACACACACACACACACACACACACACACACACATATATATATATATATATATATATATATATATATTATGCTTCCTTGTTTGTGTGTGTGCGTCCAAAAGTAATTGTACAGCTCCTATTGTAGTTCTCGAAACGCCGTCGCTTCTTCCACCCTCGTGAGACGCAAGACAGCACGTTGTATCTGTTATTCTTTCACACTACCCCGAAATAAAACAAAGCACTGGACTTCTGATGCAGTCCTTGTTAAGCAGTACCATACAAGCCTCAAAGAAAACAGCGAAAAGAAGAACTAATTAGAAACAAAAAGGATGAGTCATTCTGAACTTTCCGAGCAAGTCTAAAACGCTAATGCAAACGAGGCCACTGATTTTACCGATAACCAGTTTCATATGCACGAATTGCATCGGCCGATGCAGGAAGTTGAGACAATTTCAGTTTCAGGTACATTTTCGCGTTTATTCAGTTTTCTGTGTGACATCAATACACTTTACACAAAACTAGGCAGTTGAGCTTCCCCCGTGAAGTACTTTGCGAGATAGACAGTATATCCACTGCTGTAAGTCAGGTGACCTGGGGTACTGAAATCCCGCGTGCCGCAGCTGGCGTGGGCGAGCCCCTCGTAACCCAGGACATGTCCGTAAACTGCGTGTTTAACTATCCCTACTCGATTATAGAGTATGCACGGTAAACCACTGACGTGGTCAATGAAATGGGTCGAATAAATTTTACCTACCTCAGAATTGGAAGCTGTGGGCGAGTACCACAATAAAGGAATGTTCCGTCTTCGATATCCAAGATACGCCAGAGAGAAAAAAAAAAGCTTCTCTTCAAGTGCTCGAAAGTAGACGTTATCTGTGTCTCGCGTCTACACCT